TAGTTCTGACGGGAGGATTTTCTTCCGAGGTGAAGTTTTGATAAAGAGTGACAGTCGTACCTTTGTCTGCTGATGAGCTCAGTTATGAGAAATGATGTTTTATTTATTGATATGCATGGACCACGGGTTACTGTCTGCTCCTGTATTATCCAATAACAGTGAGTTGATCTCCTCTGACGGCCAATCATTTCACAGGAGGAACTATTAACGTGACTAAAATTGACGTCTTGATGACGGCGGTCTGAATTCAATTTCCTGTGAAGCCACTCAGTGAAGGTGTGTTTGTGGGAGCGTCGTTGTTTGATGTACAGTCGGTGAAGGTTGTAGATAGACCGAGCAGTTAGCATGCACTCATTGGCTCTTCACTCACGTTAACTCAAAACATTAAAGTGTTTCAGTGTTACGCTTTAAAAGAAAACCCACTTTTGATGACCTTTTTAATCCCTTTTCTCTAATTGTTATTTTTTTTTCTACTAATGATGACTTGGTGATCGGTGTTGATGCTGTTAGTCCCATGTAGAGAAGAAGACAGTCGGAGGGAGAAGCTGCTGCTCCCTCCCTCCGACATCTGTCCGTCTGTCTCTGGGTTTGTCCGTCGTATCTGAACGTCCACTGTCACTCACATCTCTGTCGGAGGGAAGAGGCCTCAAGTGTAACAGACGCTGGTTTAATAAAATATTTCAAGTGAAAACCAAACACAGATGCTCTTCTTCTTTTTTTGGTTCCAACTCTGTCACTAAAAATTTTACGGGACATTTTTACCTTCTGTAAAAGTGGACGCGGTGGGCAATAACATTAAGGCTGTCCGACGATTACAGTTTTTATCCGATTAATCAAAGGAGAGCTGTGGGACGAATAATGACAATCATGATTAATCGTGACTAGTTGTCAAGGTCAGATTGTAATTTAAAAGGTTGACAACCTGTAAATACCTTTGGTGAAGGGTAAATAAATAGAAGCCTCCAGAAGACCTTTGGAGTTAACGAGCTGCCGTTATGTTTTAACTGACCTCAAAACTACAACTGGAGATGGAGCTGAGTCTGGACGGCACTTCAGTGACTACTGCCATTATTACTGTTGGCACTGAACACATGACTGAGGTCAAAGTCCGTGCTCTCACCACTCAGCAGGTCTTAGATTTAAGATGAACGACATCAACTGTGTCTTAAAAACAGAAGATTTCACCTTTAAATCCATTCAAGTTCAACCCTGTCTGTCAAACTGCTGTAAACCTACACACTTCTCCACCTTTGGTCACATGACACTGACGTGGTCCACCATAGTGTCCCTGGATTTCCAAAATTTCACATACACCACACAAAAGGACTTCAGTGATTCTACTGCAGCGTTCCAAATATCAGGGTTCCTGTCACCTGGGTTCTTCCTGAGGTCCAGCGTCAGTCTCTGAGGGGGGCGCTGTTCCTTCAGTCTTTGGCTGAACTCCAGCAGCTCTGCGGGCCGAATGAAGTTGGACCTGTTGAGGACATAAACTATAACTCACCTGACATTACAAAAACAGAACATGTATTTCATGTAATGCTAATGTTTATTAGAACCATATGTAATGAAAGAACATAGAACTAACACAGAGTTGAAGTTGATGGAACGTCTTACCTGAGGTCCAACTGCCTCACAGAACTGGGTGAAGGTTCAGAAAAGAGCTTGGCCAAGACAGACACCGTTTTTGCTGTGGGAACAGGCAACAATATCAGAACTAAATATAATATATATTGACAAAACATTTTTGTAACATTTTTTCAAAGTGAAATAAAAAGTGTTGTGATATCACCCTCTGGTGAACTCACCAAGACGGTTCTGAGCCAGGCTGAGAGTGTGGAGAGACGAGAGCGTCTTCACAGCAGAGACCAGCTGCTGCAAACTCTGCTCCTTGTCACTGCACTTCTCCAGCAGTCGACAGTCGTTAAGGTGAAGCTCTGACAGAGAGAAAAGGAGGTAAGAAATAAAAAATCAAAAAAAAATAAAATCACACTGAGACCAGAATCCTGTCACAGATGAAACACAGGACGTACAGACTTTAATCTGGAGACAATATTCACCAACATCAGTGGTGCCCCTACCTTCTAACTGACAGCATCTCAGTAGATGAAGGATCCCTGGGAGACAGTCGGACAGATTCATGTCCTCCAGGCTCAGACACTTTAAGCAGGTGTTTGACTCTAAAGACAGGACATCACAGAGACATTTACTACAGTCTTCCTCTCCGTTACTCCAGCTTCATTAAAATAAAAATATTGCTGTAATAGTTGTAAAGAAATATCAAGGCCTTATTGTGGTAACAGATTATTTGTGTCAAATTCAAGCACTTTTCAAGGACTTTCAAGGCCAGTTTTGTAGTTTGTTAAGTGTTAATAAACACTTAAATACCAAAAAAGTATAAAAATCTGACTTTATCTGATTTTATTTCTCTCCATTTACTATTTGGTGTATTGGCTCAGATACGGGAAATATATATAGAGATACATATATACAGTGTATATATATATATATTATATATTATATGGAAATACGTTTAAATCTCCAAACATTTACAAGCACTTCACACTCAAAATCACACTTTTCAAACTTGATTGAAATTCAAGCATTTTCAAGGATTTCAAGCACCAGTACGAATCCTGTTCTATGGACCAACTTGAAATGTTACCTGACAGAGTGGTAAGGAGCTGCTGCAGAGAGGAGCCACCTTGGAGCCTCAGTCCTGACAGGTGGAGAGAGGAGAGACGAGGGGAGCGTCTCAGCAGTGAGGTGATGAGTTGGAGATCAGTCTGAACCACATTGACCTTCAGTGTCAGCTTCTCCAGCACCAGTTCTGTGGAGGGATAGAATCAGAACACACCGATTGGAAGACGTTTAGGGACAAATGGTCCTCTTGAGAAGGAAATTTAAAAAAAGAAGAATCAGAGATCAGAAATGTATTAGAAGGTCGGAATATGATTTATTTTATCTATGGCTGTGACTTCCATTTCTTATATACATTGTATGGTGACCTGTGTGGCAGCACCTGATGTGTACGCCTCTGTCGTCCGAAGATGATTTATTAGGTATGGCCTCCAAATCCCATGTTCCACCTCCACGTGCAGAGCAGCAACCTTGGGAATGGCGTCCAGCAGGAGCTTTGCGAGTCTGATGTCTGGCAGGGAGCTGATGCTGAGGTTAGTGAGGCGGCAGAGAGGGCTGTCAGAGAGCTGCTTCAGAGCCTTAGACAGATCCAACACGTCACAGTCTCTGAAGGTGTCTGCAAACACGCACACAAAATATTTGAAAAAACGTTCAAAAAATAAAAAACCTGAGAAATCACATCATTTCTGCACTTAGCTACAACACCATAACATAATTTAAACTTTTTGGCCAAAGAATATCAATAGAGAAACTTACAAGAGCTTTCAATGGTGAGAGAGCGGAGGCAGAAGAAGGTGGGCAGAGCACAGTTCAGGACTCTCAGGCAGTCAGGGTCACACTGGCTTATCTGCAGTTTGTGAATCTCCCCCCGGGGACATGGCCCTGCTGAGGCACCCTTATGTGCAGAAAATGTTTGACAAAGGTCCTGCAGGGGCAGTGACAAGTTTGCTTTCTCGGTTTCCTCCTCCTCCAACATAGAATGCAGCCTTGGACGTTTGCACAGAGGAGGTTGATGACACTGATCTTCTGAGGACAGGACTCGGCTACAGCTGGCTTCGTCTTGACTGGGTGATGAAGCACTGTTATTATTCTCGATTGTCAGGTGATGCTTCAGCTTAGGACAAACATACTGGGAACCCCTTCTATATATAAGCCATGTCAGCAGGGTGGGCGATGGTCCGTGCATGATGAGCTCTGTCGCCACCCCATGGTCGAGCAGTCGGTGGATGATGTACAACACCACTTGTGCTTGCCTCTTTGATAGGTCTGGGCACTGAAGACAAGAAATGCACCTGATCTGTTTCTCTAGCAGTTCAAGAAGAGGCCTGTACTCATCAGTTAACCTGTGAAGAGGCAAATATCTGTCTGATATCAATACAAAAGTTCTGATGAACTGAGCTGCAGCCCACAGGAAAGACTGCGTTTTCAACTTTGTGATGATTCTGGGGAAGAGGTAGTTCTCGTAACAGTAAATCAGGGGAAGAAAAATAAGTCTCATGACCGCATTTTCTGTGAACAGATAATCCATCTGGAAAAAAAACAGGACACTGATCACACATTGATTACAGGTTAAACCCAAGAAACTTAGAAGTTTATTTTTTAACAAACACTTACTCTGTGGTACTCGCCCTGTATAACCTGAAGCCAGCCAGTGTAGGACGATATTCCTGATAAAAAGGCAGATAATAAATGCTTAAAAAACAACTACAAACTATAAGGTGACAAACAAAAGTATTTTTCTGTGAACTATGGAAACAACCACAGAATTCTTACCTCTCTGAGTGAGTTGCGGCTGGAGTTCAGCCAGGTGACTGATGGTCAAGTAAGGAATAAGACTCTTAATGAGAGTTGGTGGGAGACCTAATTGGTAGCAGAGCATTCAGTGCACAGGCAGACATATATACGACAATGGTGCAAAAATAAATAAATAAATAAATATAAATTAATATAGTTTCATATTTTTCGTTTGTATTATTTTTTTTAAACATCGTGTCCGTCACGGTTAAGGATAAATAAATAAAAAATATAGATTATAAAACAAACAAACGTTTCTTATCTGAAACTTATATGTCCTTTAAGGGGCTCCGTAGTTTAGCATAACTCTCCGAACAATTCTAAAAAACATTACACTTGCAAAACCTTTCCACTGGAGTTTAACCAATGTCACGTTAGCACATGTAGACAATATAAACTTTTTGTGAGGGTTTTTTGTTACGTATAATTTAATCTTTTGTGGAATATTTTCCATTTCGTGTGACTGAATGAACACTTGTGTCCGTCGTCGTTTAGCGACCTCCTTGAAACACAGATAAAACAGAACTTTAAGCGACATAAAGGACTTTTGTGTTTTGCGAACGACAAAAAGCAATTTTAAAACAATGTAAGAATTGATTCGCAACATAAACTCATTTTTTCAATTACTATAAATGTTATTTCATAAAATAAAAGTCTCCACTCACCGAGAACAGCGTCGGCTCCCAGAGCAGCGAAATGTTGCCGGACTGCGTAAAAACATATTTCCTTCAAACTCAACTCTGTTTCCTGCGCTGTTCCAGCCATTGGATAAGACACAAATAAAAATTACTAATTATTCACTTCAGTGTAAAATAACCAATGTACTCCCACCAACAACACCGCACAGATAACCAAATGGTTCCGTTCCGTTCAGAGAAACAGTCCGGAAGCAGAGAAAGTCGTTTCAGTTTTTTTCAATAACCACATTCCTGTAATACCGCCACCAACTGGTCAGGAGTGTGCCGTTCTGTTCAAATTCAAGAGGAAGAAGGAATTGTTCGACTGGCGAAAACTCCTTTAATAATGATGTCGTCACATCAGCGTCATTTGTCGGTGTTCAGGTTAAAATACTACAAACTGACTCCTTAAGGAGGTTGGTAGGATTAACGGTTATTCACATCAATTTATCAAATACGAACCAGCATCACCATGCGACCACGTGGCCTAATGGATAAGGCGTCTGACTTCGGATCAGAAGATTGAGGGTTCGAGTCCCTTCGTGGTTGGGGCCGACTTCTTACAAAAAAATGTCGCGTTTACCTGGGCGGCTAACCTCTTACCTCATTCCACATATTCGATGTGGTTGTTAGGTTTTAGTGGCGACATTAATCCCTATTATGAGCTCTCCTGTTGTGTTTCTCAGAGTACAAAGTCAACAATATTATTTTCGATAATGAAAAACTAATGTTTTTTTTTTAAGGAAGTCCGATAATATCAACCGTCCATTAATAAAACTATATCGTTTTTTCCTTCAAAAATGAAAACCCGATAACACAATGCCTGGGTTTCGCCAAATAATGTATGCCCTAAAAATAGTTTTGGGGGAAAACAGCTGTATATTAAAGTGATAGTCACTAGATGGCAGCATTGCAGCTCATTTAATTAATCTCATACTTAGACAGTGGTTTGTACAGATAAATAAATATTACCAGCAAAATTGTGTTTGTTACTTAAAGTTAATATCGCACATCCCTAGTTTTTCTTTATTTCTTCTGTTTTAATAATACAACATTCTCAAAAAAAAAATACACAGTCATTATTTGCAGTGGCTGTTACAGGAAGTCCTTTGTGCTACTGCTGCTATGAAACGCCTCTCTGGTCTTCATGAGAGCGCTGGTGGAAGACAAAGGAGACGGCGGCGTCCCACGAGGCCTTTAACACCTGGTCCCTGAGGCCCCTCTTGTTGAAGCAGTGATTCCACTGAGACAGGTCACTGGTGCAGTCAGAGTCGTCGGGCGGTGGCCGGACCTCGACGGCATTCACACAGCGCTGACAGCGGAACCTGAAAAAGGGACAAAAGGAGATGCTGCTTTAAAGATGTTTTTTTTTATTGTATTTCCAGGAAGTGTACCAACTTCTCTGGGTATGGTGTTTGTTAGACTTTTATATGATCTCCAAATGTCACAAACCCAAAACACATGACCCTTACTTGTCATGTGTGTCACTGGACGTCTCCTCGTTGAGCGTAAAAAGTTCTCGCAGTTCCCCCAGAGAGAAGTGGCGCTCTACATCCTGCTCCTCGTCCACCACGCAGCTGCTCAGGGCCTTTTTATGAGCCTGTCTCTGCAGGATCTTCTCCTCGATGGTTCCCGTCTGTTGACAAAGACAGCTCTCAGTCGAACACAAACATCCTAGAAGATGTTACCACAGCATGTAGACCAGGCCTGTACTGACCGAGAGCAGTCTGTAAATGTAGCAGGTCTTTTTCTGGCCGTCTCTCCACACCCGGGCCATGGCCTGCTCATCGTTGGCGGGGTTCCAGTCGGGATCGAACATCACCAAGCGATTGGCGCCAATCAAATTCAGGCCACATCCGCCAGCCTTGCTACTGAGCATGAAGATGAACTCTGGATTCTGAGAGACACAGAACTGAGGTCAGAAAGAGAAAGAAGAACTAGACAGAGATGATTCACCTCAGAAACATCTGCTCACAGACGGACTGTTGAATTTCTCCACTATTTTTGCTCTTTTCTTGATGGACATGGTTCCATCCAGTCGTACGTACAGGTATCTGGGAGAAGACAAAGACAATAGTTATAACATGATGATGTGATGATGTGACCGTCTGTGGACAATAATCAAAAACAACATGTGTTACACGTGGCTGTAACTGAGTTAACACTGCAGTAGGGACGTAATGATGCATCGGGAATCGGTTAAAATCGATACAAATCTGTGACAATTCGTATTGGTTAAAAAGAAAAAATGAGTCAAGCATCAAGGTGTAAAGAATAGGCTGCATTATCTAAAAAAGCCACTGGTCATACCATGACACGCTCTAGTACAGCAGGTGGCAGTATGCTCCTAAAACGGCACTATTAAACCAAGACCAAACCAGTCCCTACATATTCTAAGTGACATTCAGGTGTTGAAACAGAACGCAGTGTTCCTGTACAGAAAGGAACTCTTTCCAGTTCCTATTTTTATATTATTTTGTTGTTCTTGCAAATAAAGGATTGTTGTATTTGGTCATTTGTCTGGAGCTTATTTTGTTAAAAAATTGTGATAAAATTGTATTTGAAACAAAAAAAAAAGTTAATCATATCGTGAGTTTATCAACTGGTATAAAACCAATCAATGCTGAAACAACACCTTCTATTTCTGCACAGCTTCTCAAACAGGTCCAGTGTTTGAGTGTAGTTGGAGACCAGGACCACTTTGTCACTGGATGTTGTTCTGGTCATGGCCAGGATGTAGTCCAGAACCAGCATTTTACCTGTAAACACAGGAAACGTTGTCATTTTTATACAGTCTTTGTGGATCAAACATGACTGCCAAACCTCCAGATGTCACCGGGTTCTTACCAGAGAGCTGAGGTTCTACAGACTTGGTGCTGTAACCAGGAGGAAACAGTTCCAAAGCTCCTTCAAATCCTTCCTCTTCCTGCACACACTTGTCATGGATGAGGGCTGGGTCTATGACACAGGGCAGTCAGGGGAACGGGGTTAAAGAACGGGCAGCAGATCCTTTTTCTTTTTTTAAATTCTTTGTCACTGAATGAATAAAAACTCACGGTTGCACAGTTTCTTCAGTGATGTGATGGAGGACAGAGAGGACACGCTGATCTTCCCCCCCTGTAGCGCCTCCACAGGTTTGGCCTGTTTCAGGAAGCGTTTGTACAGTTCTGTCTGCAGAGGAGTCAGTCTACAGGAAACAGCCTTGGGTCAGTCATCATCTCTTTTATTTTTTAATAACATTGTTTTTTCAGCATATTGAAAGGAAAAACTACATTTTAATAGTCTTAAGATTCTAAAAAAATCCAGTGTGTCCTGGAACTAGTGACATGAATAAACTGACCTGCAACACACGACCTGCTCGATCTTGACTGGCAGATATTTGGACAGGATGTCAGACGTTCTCCTGATCAGACACCTGTAGAAGAACGTGTTTTAAACCACAGCAGAGAAGGAGATGTTCAGAACCAACGAGTGTGTCTTGGTGTTCACCTGTTGACGATGCTGATCAGCTCCTTCAGTTTTTCCTCCCCCGTCTGTCGGTCTTTGTCACTGGCGTCCGCGTCCCGACCCTTCAGGATGGGAAGTTCAAATCTCTTCTTAAACTCTTGTGCTGTACCTGTTGTCATAAAAGAAATCAAAAAAGTGAATGAAAACAGCTCAACATTCACCGGTCATCAGTGACGTGTGTCTGAAGTGTTCACTGAATAATCAGATTGTGTTTACCCAGAATTCCCGCATTGACAAAGTGAACCAGACTGAAATATTCCAGCAGGTCATTTTGGATGGGAGTCCCTGAAATCAGCACCCTCCTCTGGGCACTCATGGCATTTAAGGCCTGGTAGGTCTGGTTGTCAGAGTTCTTCAGTCTGTGGCCCTACACACACACACACACACATTCATTAGTTCCAGTTCACTCTGTTCAACAGCTGATGTACCAGTTTATGGAGAACACCAAAGAACCTCGTCACAGATGACCAGTCCAACTTTGCCCCTGTGCAGAACCCCAGCGTGAAGTCGGAAGGTCTCGTAGGAAATGATGAGGATGGGGGTGGGAACTCTGAGACCATGCTGGGAAATGAAGTTCACTACGAACGATACGCAAAAAAAATGTACACAGAACTCGTGTCAAATTCATTTTTGTAGCACAAGACGTTGAAACGGTCAAAAAAACGCTGCTCTATCATTGTGATGAGCGTGAAGAGTCTTGGTTGGTTTGATGTGACTGTATTTTACAATGACAATAAAGAATATTCAATTGTCCATGTTTAATGTTTACACTGACCCCATGTGGCAGGAACATAGATGTGCAGCTCATAACATAAACAATCCCTTTTCTCATCATCAACAGCTTCACGGTCACACGGTGGTGAACAGTAAAGTTTCCTCACCCAGCTGTCTGTCAATGTGTTCCTTCGAGCCCCCATCTATGGCCACAGGTGTCACCCGTGCCCCCAGCCACTTCCCCACTTCATTGTACCAGTTTCGGACCAGACTGGAGGGTGACACCACAATGACCTTGTCTATCTCTGGCTTTGCGTCGGGACTCTGACGCAGCAGGGTCCATATGAGGGTGATGCACTGCAGGGTCTTCCCCAGACCCATCTCATCAGCCATGATGCAGCCGTACGACTCGGAGATTCTTCTGCCCGTCACACACTCCCAGAGGAACTTCACTCCCTGAAACACACACAGGCACACCACCATTTAAAAAACCAAATCACCATCAGTGTGTCATTTCATTTTTCTTTTCTTTCTTCTCTAGTGATTCCAAATGTAGATCCCTCTGTTCCATGTCAGTGACCTGATGTTAGGATGGACCAGCATTGTGTCTTAACTATGGTGACAGTTTGACTACAGTTACATTGTTTTAAAGAAAAACTCAATATATCGTCACGCTTATATTATCTCAATTTATCGTATCATTACCCATGTATCGTGATATGTATCGTACCGCCAGATACGACCCAAACACAAGCAGGGAGAACAAGTCTTTTCAGCAGCTACAGTGAAGATATTCATATATATTTTTTACCTCTCTCTGATGAGGTCTGAGGACTTTTCCTAAAACTGGATCCACCACAACATGGACTGGAAGTTTTTCTCTGTGGACAAACGACCAGAACAGAAAGTCTTAAAAGGGGAAGACAGTAACAAAAAAATAAATGTTTGTCTATGAATTAGTTTCATTGTAGTTTTATCTTTAGTGCTTAAAAATAGGTTGGTGTAGACATCAGTATCAATATGCAGCAAAAATTCAATCAGTTTATATTGAACATTACACACGTAGCATATATTTAGCAGGGAGACTTACTTCTCAGCTTTGATCAGGTCGTGAGCGCTCAGAGTCGGGGGCTCGTACAGAACCAAAGCATCTTCTGCGAAGGGATCGTGGAGTGCTTTCCTCACTCCTGCCCTCTTCAGACCAAGTGCTCTGATCCCCAGTGAGCCTGTGGACCAGTCAACAACAAGTCAGTCAACACAACGTTTTTTTAGCCTGTAGTTTAGACACATGAGAAAAGCTGACGTGACGAGAGAAAAAATATACCTGTGTAATTTGGAATGGGGATTTTGAAGGGTTTGGAGAGAATACTGCGAATAAACGCCTCCTGTGGAGAGGGATTTGATGATACGTCACAATAATGTGGTGGGAATGTGTCTCAGCACGTCATATATGATAAACAGGACGTTCAGATAAAAGAAACTTGGCAAATTAACATCAATTAAGACATTTTCTTAATAGTACTTTCTTACATCATAACCCAGAGAGCTTTTAGTGTACACTTCAACCTGTGCTGTATTTTAACACAAACCAAATTCAAAGACTAAACTCCACAGAGGTGACGGCTGCTCACGTGTTTTTCTCCGTCAGTGAACGTTATCTTGTTGTTGAGCTGAGTCAGAGGTTTTCTGTAGGGAGAGACGTGGATCTCTCTCTTCTCGCTGTCACTTTTCCGTCTCTTATCCTGTGGACACAAATATATAAATATATATAGTACAATATCTACATTCACAGAGGTCATGGCTAGCATCTCTGTCTGACTTTCACACTCGGTGACTGTGCGAGCGCCCTCTATATTCCCGTAAATAACATCAACGTCATTAGCAATTTGATCATTATTATTGTTATTATGAACAGTACTGCAATGTAAAATAAAAACCACTCAACCAAACGCCTCTACGTGTCCACTGTAGCTCAAGTGTCCGTTGACAGATATTTAACAGTGGTTCGGATGTCACTCACAGTTGGACATGTCCACTCCTCATCCTCGCAGGAATCACCTCCCTGCTTCCGTTTGGCGACCTGACTGGGAGCCAGACTCCTCCTCTGGATGGTTACAGTCCAAGACAGTTAACAAAACGAATTCAATCGAAGATTATCACATTTCATCTAATAAACTCACCATTTTCCCGTTTCAGTCCAGCTGGTCACGGGCTAAATGCGGAGATTGAGCCGCTGTTGTTTACTGTTGTCTCCGCCTTAGCTGCATACAGGAAACGTTTGTGTCCATTTACTTTTTAAATGTTATATTACCAGTCTTAATGAACTAGACACCGTGTCCTCGGTGTTTTGAATCAAAAGCGACGTTCTTATTTACATAAATCTATCACCGGGCCGCTGCTTTTACCGTAAAACAACAGTTATTCCTGGGATCACATCTACTACAATTTAGACGTTCGCGCGGAATGTTGCACAACACTACGGCAAGCCACGAGTGTCATACACGAGTAAAACAGTACGCGAGACCACCGCAAAAGATGAAGTGATGCTGTGTTACATTCTAAAATATATTTGCAAGATTTAGATGAAAAGAATACGTTTTTAGGGCTCGTCATGCGTCTAAAATCCTTATTAAACTGTCACAGTTTGATATTTGGTTTGCAAATACTTGTCTTAAACATCTTTCAACAGCAGATGGCAGCATTTTACATACAAACGATGCAGTGTTGCAGAATCAGAAGGAACACAAATGTAAATGTTAAGAATTTATAAGAAAACATTTTTACATGAATCACCAAAATAACCAAAATAATCAAAGAGGAGATTTCCAACAAACACCAGGGACATGTTTCAGAAAGTGGGTTCTAGAAATGTCTAAGATTTATTATCATTATTTATTTATGATTAACTTTTACTTCAGTCCATGTCAGGTAATGTTTTACAAACAGCTCAGGTGATGAGCTTCACACACGAGTGCAGGATCTCAAACCCGTGCAGCTCCCGTAGCCTGTTCAGGTACCGAGGCTCAGATCGACACAGCTTTCCCAGAGCGATGGCTGCGTTTTGTTGCACGGCCGTCTCCTTTGCGTCTCCTGCGGCATGACGCAGCAGCTGCAGCACAACATCAGTGTCCACTAATCTGCTGGAGACTCCTTCCAACTCCAGACAGTGGCCCAAGCACAGGGCGGCGTTTCCCGCCACCATGACATCACAGCTGGACCCCAGCAGTCGACGTAAAACGGACAACTTTTTATCAAACCTCAGCAGCTCCTCTCGAGCTGAGCGACTGGCTGCGGTGCACACAGTCAGAGTCTTCATGGCGTACTTGGTAGCGTTCTGTCCTGGCCTCTTGAGCATCCGACACAGGGTCGGAACCACGTTAGCCTGAATCACACGCTTCACGGCCTCAGACGACTGTGGCAGGACAGTGCTCAGCACGCCCAGGGCTTGAGTTATGACCCCGCCATCGCTGTCCTTCAACAAGCCCAGACAGCAGTCGCAGAGTTCTACAGCACGGTCCTGGACAGCCGGAGAAGATCCACCTGAGAGGTTGATGATGAGACCCAGCAGGGAGTAAAGCACCTCTTTAAACCCTCTGCTGCTGCACTGCTTTAAGGCAACCAGTAGGGTCTTCCAAAACTCCGAGTCATGAGCCAGTTTGTGGTGGATGATGTCATCTTGCGCCAGACGGTCGATGGCCGAAATCAGTGACGGGAAGACAGGACGACTGGACTCCGTGATAGTCCTTAGTACCGATGTAAATGGCTCGGTGACACAGTACGTCAACACGTCTCTTAGCTGCATGCAAAGTTTGTCTTCAGCTGCAAAGTTCTCAAGAACCTCAACCGCAGTGGAGTCTCGCTGCTGCCACGGTTTTGACACACCTGTTATAATGTTCCGCACCATCGTGGACACGTTCAAGTGTTCAATGACCACACGTCTCCCATGTGGCCCCCGTGAGAACACATGTAAAAGTGACAGACATTCTGTCTGTACTGCAGCTTCCTCCGACGCCAGCAGATCCACCAGAGCCTGCGTGGTGACGGGGCAGGACAGTAAGACCTTCTGGTTTTCACTGTTTCCATCACAAACAGCTCTCCATAACTTCAGGACAGACACCAACAACCTCCGACTGTCCTTGTCCTCGGTCTTCTCCTCCAGACAGCTCCTCACTGTGCTGTTGTCACTGATGATCCTGAAGCCGTTACTCAGTCTGAAGAGAGTCTGGGCTGTGGAGTCCTGAACCGCCTCTGAGAGAATCTGAATCCCTCCGCAGTAGTAGAGAACGATGTGTCCCGACATCGACAGCTTCTCCAAAAGTTTTGGCACCGCCGTGACCTTTGCCTCACCCTGGTCAAACTCTCGCCTCGCTTCCACCTCCTGAAGCTCTCTCTCCTCCTCCAGATCCACACGAGTCAGGTACTCTCTAACCATTTTCTCCTTCTTGGGTTCAATTTCCAGGATCTTTGTGAAACAACTTCTGGACTCTTTATAGTCCTTCAGTTCCAGGTAGGATTTCCCCATGTGCACGTAAGCCTTGCTGCACCTGTCGTCACACCTCAGCGCCCAATCACAGTCACTGATGGCCTCTCTGTATTTCCCCAGTTTGTAGAAAGCCTGTGCTCGGTTGGTGTACAACTGCTGCATGTCCTTCAGTTTGGCCAAGCCCTTGGTGTAGTGCTTCACGGCCGCTTCATAATCTTCCTGGGCAAAAGCTTGGTTCCCCTTCTCTTTGAGCACTAGCGCCTTCTTTTCATTAGCGCAGCGCCTCCGTCTCCTGTCCTCAGCGTCTTTTTCCAGCATCTTCATGAAACTTTCAGGACTCTGCTGATGGTAGGGGAACTGGGGGGAAGGGTTAGTGTTGATTTTGGTCTTGTTCACCTTCGTCCTGCAGGGTTCTTCTTCCAGGGAAGCGATGTAGGAGTCGGCTTTCTGGATTGTTTTCTGCACGACTTCAACAT